CCCCTCCAGCCGATAACCAGTGTACGGAACTGAACCGTCTCGGAGTGACCGCCTGTGAGGGCGGCCGTGAGTGTTTCCCTGTCAGCAACCATTACATTTGCAAGTGTCCCGATGGCCTCACCTACAGCGAGGAATCACAATCCTGCATCAGTAAGTTGCATAAGCTATTAATATATTAGTGTTTTAACGCCTATTAATAGCTGCTTGCACTGTATGGTTCCCAGGAAATTGAGGTTATTACAGAATGCTCTCGCGTCTGCTGAGGTATAGATTGTGAAACGCATAGAGCTTGCTGTTGAGTGAGGAATTACGCTATACAAATGCTGTCTATTAATTATTATTGGTTGTTCTGTTCTTAACGTACTAAACACAATCCAGATTTTTTAAATATCCAGTTCAGTGTTTTGGGGCAATTATCCTTGATTTAAATTCAAAAACTGAACTCTTATTGCGTACTGCCATATTATGTCTCATGAAATTTCTGAGCTTCTGACTTTTGCAGCACCGCTTCTGAAACCCCACTTCCCAACTGTTTTTTAAAATGAATTTCACATCTTTACAACTTTTGTCACTTGCCTCTGTTTACAGGTCACTGCGGACATTGCTATGCTAAAGGAGATCCTCATTACAAAGTCTTTGGAGGCGCCAAATACGATTTCATGGGACCATGCAAGTATGTGCCTTTGTGTCAAATTTTACAAGGAAAGTTGGTTGTTAATAAACTGTGAATGGGTAGTTTGTGGGTGCTCTGGTGTGTGATTTGTTCCTTTTTCCCATTAAATATCTATCGTCCTTATCTCTCTTCCTTTTTTTTCGTTGTATGTTATTCTCTAGTAACATCTCTAATCTTCGCTAAATATATTATTATCACCTAATTGGGTTGCATGTGCCGTGAAGCTCCTACTAAAACTAATCTAAAAACATCGAAATTAAAGAATAGTGAAGCAGTAATTAATTTAGTTGCTAGAGTCCACCACCCATTTCGCTCAGCTTGCTGCAAGCGGATTGAATGTTTCAAAGTATTTATTTTTACGCCCCCATCGACATAATTTAGATCATTTGGGAGGCTAGCTTGAGAGATCACAAGCGAGATCTTACGTCTACGTAGCATTGAATAGGTTAAATTTCCCGTAGAGAACATCAGAACAACACAAAAACGAAGGGATTTAGTGATTTGCGAAATTGTGTGAAAGTGCATTAGTTTAACGCACCTTGCGATTCTGTAACGTTGTTAAAGAGGCGTGACCTCCGAATTTAAAGTCCATCTCCGATGGGACCCAGTTATATGGGAAAATGCGTGTAAATTTATTTTTAAATGCTCTTCAGACACAACATTGAATCGAGTTGGGTCTTGAGCCTCTGCACCCAGAGATTCACAATTATGGGTCCGATAGCCTAACCACTAGACTCCAGACGCCTGCCTTGGGCTTTGCTGTCCAAATTACCCTGAAGATGCATCGCTAAATGTTGTTGTGAAAACACAAATAGTATTGTATTTTACACCACATACACTACATTATCTGTCTGCAGGTACAAGTTCTCCGGCATTTGTGAAGATGACAAGGACGGTGTTTCTGAAAACTTCGACGTTTACACCAGGAACAAAAAGTGTGGAAAGAGAAAGGGCGTGACTTGTATCGACAGAGTGGAAATTCATTTGAGGAACATGAAAGTTATCAGGAACGGTGTTGCATTCAAAGAAAACTTTGTTTTTGAAACCAAGACTGGTGCCAAAGATTTCAAGGTGTGTGGGTTTAAAGTACAAGTGTACTTCACGTTCACACCTAAATACATAAGCATTGCGAAAGAAACACGTATCTTTATGTTTAGTCCTAAGCTAAAATGATAAGTTTGTCAAACAGGGAGGGGGGACGGCATTTTTTTAAGGAAATCAGTTACATTATTTCTTTTTTGTGTAATATTTCGTAGCATAGAAGACCTTTTTACGTTAAATTTCTTTAAACTAGTTACTGTGCAGATAGAACTTTGTAAATCTAGGAGAGCGAAGTAATTTCAAGCTTTCTTACGACCAATTCTTTATATTTCTTTACTTGCAGCTCAATGGTAACGTCATTAAGCAGACTGAGTACTCTGTTACTGGGGTCTTTGAAGTGGCAGTTAAGAAGGGATACTTCAGTCTGATCGTCCCAAGTCTGTCACTGTCCATCTTCATGAGTGGTAGCAAGCTCACGGTCAATGCTCCAGACAAGTTCAAGGGTAAAATGTGTGGCCTGTGTGGTCAATGCGACTCCGACAAATTCAAAGTGAGAAATGGTACCGAAATGACTGTACCACTCAAAGGCAAAAACAAAAAGTGGGACCGTGGCGTCATGGCAGAGCTTGCCCAGACCTGGGTGGAGCCAGATGCACAGGGTGATATTGAAATGTGAGTAATAGTGCAATAGAATATGGGGAATACATCTCTCTCTCTCTCTCTCTCTCTCTCTCTCTCTCTCTCTCTCTCTCTCTCTCTCT